ATTTCAATAATGAAAAGGCAACGAAAGCAGCCTTTGATGAGAACGGGTGGTATCGGACGGGAGAGAGAGAGAGAGAGACGTTAAATAAAAACATGTCAATTTAATTTATTACAATTAACAGCATGAACAAACATTTTAATAGTACTAATAGTTAAGCACTTCGTCCTTAACCAAAGTTCGATAGTATTTTCGGTCGACTTTTCCGATTGCAGTTCTTTTAATGCCATCGATAAACACAACGCCTCCCTTCAGTTGCTTAGTGTTGGCCAATGTGTCTAATGTCATACAATATAAACATATTTATAAAATAACATTTTGATGTAATTACCCGATATAAATTCTTCAATTTGTTCACTCGTAACACCGGAAACATTAGGCTTAATGGTCACATAAGCCCGGGGCCAATGACCACCCGATTTTCTAACAACGCCCACAACAGCCACTTCAGCGATGGACGGGTGGGTCAATAAGTACTGCTCGATCTCAACGGGAGATACATTTGCTATTTGGTTACCACTCGATATTCGCATAACTTCTTTGAGTCTATCGGTGATGAATATTCTCTCCCTTTCGTCGTATCGCCCGATATCTCCCGTCCGATACCACCCGTCCTTATCTATGGCCTCTTTAGTTGCCTTTTCATTGTTGAGATAACCGACTAATATTTTATTACCACGGACACATATCTCACCATCCTGGTTCGGACCCAAACTTTCACCAGTTGTTAAATCAACGATCTTGAGCTCACACCCGGGGGCAACATTACCAAGATTTCCTGGTATGTACTCCTCATTAGGGTTGGACCCAACCGTAACCCATATAAACTCAGTCATACCATAAGCTAATAATAATTTAATATTTATATTAATCTTATCTTTTGAACTATCTTTTCGATTTAATATTTTTATTATTAATAATTTTATATTTCATTAAGTTGTATTATTAAATTAATTAATACACACATACCTTCCCTAAATCTAATGCCGCACTTTTTAATTATTTGTTTTGCAATATTGCCGGGAAAGGCGGCGCCACCGGTACTCATGCCTTTCAAACTACTGATGTCGTATTTGCCAACCAAATCACCCTCGATCAATCTGCGCCCAATACTGGGGAAAGCACCCAAAACATTGATCTTATACTTTTCAATCGCTTGCATCAGAATCTCTTCATTAAACTCTCCAAACAATACCAATTGAGTGCCTTTTATTATTTGTAATGGTATGAGAACTGTACCCATAATGTGGCCGCACGTGAACGGCATCGCACAAATAGCCTGACCATCTAATTGGTCAAAATCTAGAAATATATCTGGTTCCTGACACCCGTCAATCATTGCCCGATGCGTTATCATTGCACACTTCGGGGGTCCAGTGCTGCCCGACGTGTGTATTAAGAAAAACATATCGGTGTCCGGGTTTACCGGGAAATAAGGGTACCGGTCGAGTGCCCTATCTTTGCCCTCAGCCAATAACTGGTCAAAGTTTAAGTTAGTGTCGTATTTGCCGTCAAAAATAATTACAAGTTTAACTCTAATTGTGTTGTTGTCTAAAACCCCTTGAAATTTATTAAAGTCTTGAGCCGAACTCATAATAATCGTGGCTCCGGTCGATAGGAATTCCTGTTTCACCTCATATTTGCCAAACGTTGGACTCAATGGTATGAATGTTAGGCCCAGAAATGTGGCCACAAATCGCAATACCGTGTGTTGTATTGAGTTTTGGCCGTAAAACGCGATTCTGTCCCCTTTGGTCACTCCCCTATCTATAAGATTAATGGCTATTTTGTTGGCCTGGCGTTTGAGTTGACCGATAGTCAGTGTTCTGCCATTTAAAGCCTCGGTCTATATTTATTATTTAAAATATAATTAAATTATATAATAAAAATGCGACAATAATTAAAGTTTAATAAAAATTACTTTAACACTTACCAAACATATTACATCATCATCTAGTTGATTCAATTTGTTCCAAAAATATGTGCCAATAGTTTTAAACTGACTTTCAATTAAAGTCACTTTTGAGCGCAAAATATTGTCGTTTTTCATATTTGTTTTAATTTATTGAACAGATTTAAATATATTATTATAGTAATTGGTTTAATCTGCATAATATTAATTTTAATTTAGTTAAGATTTATTGTCCTTTTTATAGTTTATTTCAATTGTGAACTCATAATCTGATATTTATTATCATTTAACAAATATCAAAACTTTTTGATTAAATTTGTTTATTATAATGTTATCCAAAAGTATTTTTAATCAGTTTTACAATTAGTAATAGATTTGGTTGGATTGATCTTGTAATCTAAATTCAATACTTTATAGTGCAATCAACAATGTAATCTTATTTTTGTTTATAATTTATAAGATTGTTAAAAGATTAAGATGTTTATATTAAAATCATTTTAGAAAATCATCAAAAATTAACTAGGTCATACTATTTTTTCTCATAGAAATAACATAAGATTGTTAACTATATAGTCATTTATTAAACTTGCTAAACTTAATTAAAATTGTTTAATTAATGATTTTGGTAAAGCAAACACAACACATTAATTGAAAATGCACATCCAATTTGATTGTAATGCATTGTGCTATGTGTTTATTAAATATATGACATAATAAGGAATTTTCTCATTCTTTTACGACATATTTCATGAATATCTTTATATCAATGCAAATACAAATGCCAAAAATGACCAAATGATTGATAAAATTGGAATTATATAAATATGCTATGTATGTAACATTGTGATTAATGTACTGCAAATTAGTTCATACAGTTTGAGACATTGGCCTGAAGTCATTTATTTATGTTATACAATGTATATTATGTATAGAATTAGAATTTTAGAGATTATTTGGTCATTTTCATTCTCGTCCATTTACTATTTGTATCTTTGCAAAACATATAACTATTTAAATGAAATTGGCATAATCATTTCGTGTATTCATAATTTTGTTCCTGCTAACTAATTAATTTTAAATATTAATTTAAATTAAACTGACTTAAAAGCCATTCGAAGAATCTCGATGCTCACATACAGTATTAGCCACACACTAAAATAAAGTTGAATTTTATTATTGTGTATCAGTGATACAGTATCACATTTCAAATCATGTTATTCATCAATACTGTTATAAAATATTAATATATATTTTCATTATATCTTTCATTTCCTTCGCTTATTTTTAAGACAAACTATTAATATAATAAAATAAATTGTTTTGTTGTTTATTTGCTGTCACCAAAAATTTGACAAATTTCTATCATAAGTGTACATAATATACGCCACTTATATTGTAATTGCATTTTATTAAGTGCCTTTGTCATTATAAATAATCTATATATTTGATTAAACATATATAACAAATGTCAAAAATCAATCAATTCGCACATTAGGCTAGTTATTAAAAAATTATTTAATTAGTTTAAGTTGCTTATAAAAATAAATACTTTAAATAGCTAGTGTCACTTGATAAATTTCCAAGTAATACTATCATGATAACACTTTAATGTCTAATTGACAAATAATCGATTTAGTATTTAATAGTGTTTACATAATTACTATATTGTACACTGTATAAACCGTTAATAATACTAACAAATTTGCCAGAATTTTATAAATTAATAATTAGATGTTATCTATATTTTGATGTAAAGTTAATAATTCAATTGTAAGAATTTAAAAATAGTATTGATCCAAATATAAAGCACTTTTAGAGCATTAGTTGTTTTAGAGCATATTATGTAAATTTATCCAAATGCAATCTATATATTGACTTAAATTACTAATAAGAACTGAACGGCTAATTTTATTTTTACCATTATCTATTTAACGAATTACAAGCTTTAAATGTCAAAAACAAACAATAAAAATCAAATGCTTTCGCGTAAAATCAATTTGATTTAAATTACAGAAAATATATTAAACATAGATTCGCTCCAAAAGATAAGAAATATTCAAATTTAAAGACTATTTTTTGAGTTAAAAATAATCACAAATAAGTATTTTCATTGTTAAACATTTTAATGGTTTATTCTTTAAATGAATAAAATTTTACACATTTTTTATATTTAAAATTTAGATTAATTTATTTTATATAATCAATTTATATTGATTCTTGTTGAATAAGAATAATTTGATGATCTATAATGATCTTTAGTATAATTAATATATCTAACATTTAAATATTCTATAAATATTTATTTCATAGAAAATATATATCACCTTTAATTTAATGGTAAATGTTTTTTAAATTACAATGAAAAATATATTACTATGAAT